TACCCCTGGCACCAGGTACCCCTCACCGCCCACCAGGTACCCCCAGACCAGGTATCTGCACCCTACCCTTGCACTTATCCTGTGCCCCTGGAGCAGACAGCACACTTTTTATTGACCCTCCCCCTTTAGGAGCATCAGGAAGCTACTGCCAGGTGTCCACCCCAGGTTCTAGAAGCCCCCTCCTCAGGTTTCTCAGGGGTCCTGGGGCCAGGTCACCCTGGATTGGGGGTCCTAGGTTGGCCTTGGCCCATACCACTTATGGGGGGGCCCCAGGGAGTAAAGCAAAGCCTGCCTCGGGGGTGGGTGGGAGCAGGTGGTGTGACCCCAGAGGGGTCTCTGTTTCTCTGTCCCCCGAGACCACAGTCACCAGGCAGGTGACTTCCCATTGGCTGCCTGTGACATCACCAGGCTGGGCTGCCATTGGCCCCATGCTGTGCAGATGGGCTTTTTGGGGAGGGGAGGCAGCTAGGGGGACTGGTCAGCCTCAATCCCGCCTTCCTTCCCAGCCACAGGGATCTGAAGCCAGAGAACCTCCTACTGGATGAGAAAAACAACATCCGGATCGCTGACTTCGGCATGGCGTCGCTGCAGGTTGGCGACAGTCTGCTGGAGACCAGCTGCGGGTGAGCGGCCCTGCCAGGCCAGGAGAGGGCCCGGCCGCTGTCCCCGACGGCCCCCGCCCCGGCCATGCCGCCGGTGGTCTCAGCTGCTTAGCCGGGGGGGCGGTGCCTGGAGCCCCAGGAACCCCAGGACCTTGACTCTGCCCCCAGATTTTGCTGCCAAGTGTGACACTGTGGAGGGACCATTCCCGTGACCATTCAGGCCCAGGCCCGCGCTCGGCTCCGCGGCCCTGGAAGGCGGGTCCGGTCCCAGTGGCCGCCCGCTTGCTCAGCGGGCACTCAGCCCCGTGGCCCTTCCGGTGGTGTTACTCCCTTTGGACCAGGGCAGCAGGCAGACAGCCTTGAGTGTGGCGGAGCCCACAGGCTCCTGTGTCTCCGTCTCCCCCAGAAGCACACAGTAGGGATTAGGTTGTGAGGACATGGCACCAAAGCCCCTTGAGCCTCCTGGTGGGCCTGGGGGCCCCCCCGAGGGGCGTCTCCTGCAGGCAGAGCGTGCCTCCGGGCGTCTGCGCTGCTGTGGTCCTGGGGGGCAGCCCTGAGTGCAGGTGGGGTGGGGTGGCCCGGGCAGACAGCAGGCCCTGAACCCCTGCTTTTGCCTCCAGATCCCCCCACTACGCCTGCCCCGAGGTGATCCGGGTAAGTAGCCCCCGCCCCCGCCCGGGTTGCCGCCTGTCCAGGGGGCTTCGCCACCCGAGCCTTGCAGACCCCGGGCCCTGGCAGACTCCCCCCGCCCCCCGCCCTGTACCCGGGCCCCACCATTTTGCGGAGCTCGGCTGTTCAACCCCCAACCCCACTGCCGCCCGCAGGGGGAGAAGTATGACGGCCGTAAGGCAGACGTGTGGAGCTGCGGCGTGATCCTGTTCGCCCTGCTGGTGGTGAGGCCCCCCCCCTCCCCCGCGGCGCTGCCCCTGTGTGCCCCTCCCCAGGTGACCCCAGTCCCCTGCCGGCAGGGGGCTCTGCCCTTTGATGACGACAACCTGCGGCAGCTGCTGGAGAAGGTGAAGCGGGGCGTGTTCCATATGCCGCACTTCATCCCGCCCGACTGCCAGAGCCTGCTGCGCGGCATGATCGAGGTGGACGCGGCCCGGCGCCTCACGGTGGGTCCCGGGCACCCCGGAGGGGCTGGAGGGCCGTCTTCTCCCCCTTATGCCGCCCCTCACCCCCAGAGCCTGCAAGGTCCCGTCTCCGGCGTCTCCTCCCGGGGCAAGGGGTGGCACCCGCAGGGCAACCCCACCTAGGCCTACGAGTGTGGTGCGGGGGGCCCTGGGTGTGCACGGTGCGTGTGAGTGTGCACACGTGTGAGAGCACATGGGTGAGTAAGCGCTGTGTGGACACATACACAGGTGTGTGGGTGTGTGCATGGGTGCACGGGCCTGGGTGCACATATACAGGCGTGCACTTGCGTGTGCGTGGGTGTGGGCGTGGGCGCGGGTGTGGACGCGTGATTTGGGAGTGCTGGTGTGCCTGGCAGGTGAGCGCCCACTGACGCTGACCCCCGAGTCCTGGGCCCGGTCCATGTGAGTAGCTCCCCATGGCCACTGCTGACGCCTGGGGGCCCGGGAAGGTCTGAGGGCAGCTCTTCCTTCCGAAGGACACCCCAGCTGGCCGCCTCCGGCCTCCCTGAGGCTCAGCTAGTGCCGGGAGGGCGGGTCCCCAGAGCAAGGGCAGGAGGACTCCCCAGGCTGGCCTTCCCAGGACAGGGGCGGCCCAGTGCCCAAGAGGCCACCCTCGCCTACCCTCCCCAGCCAAGCTGTCCCGAGTGGAGCTGGGGGGAGAGCAGGGCTGGCCCCCAAGCCTCCTGCTCACACCTGCACCCAGCGCCTTCCTGTGCACAGGAGGGCCACCCTGGCCGCTTCCCCTGCCCTCCTTCCTTGGCCTCCTTCCCAGAGCCCTGAGACCCCGGAGGCCACTCTGCTTCCGTGCTCACTCCCTCTGCCACCCAGGTCCCCCAGCCCTGCCTGCAGCCCCCTGGCCCTGCCCACCTCCTTCTCTCTCTAGGTCAGCATTTTCTCTTCGACCTGGGGTAGGCAGGGTCAGGGGTGCTAGCCTGGAGCCTCCGGGAACGCAGCCCCTCCCCACACCCCCCCCCCTGCCCCCTCCCCCCCCCCCCCCCTCCCCCCCCTCCTCTCCTGCTGTCTGCACGCCCCTGCGCTCCGCCCCTCCCCCTGCTCCCGCCCCCCCCCACCTCCTAACTGTGGGCTCCTCCATCCCTCCTCGCACTAACTCCCTGTTTCTCTTTCCTTGTAGCTAGAGCACATTCAGAAACACATATGGTATATGTAAGTAGCTCTTCCTCCCACATCGCCTGCTTTGCCTGCCACCTGTCACCGTGGCCTGGAGGGCCTGCTAGGGAAGGCGGGGGGGTGACCCAGCCCAGGGCAGGCCTGCCCCCAGCCTCAGCCGCTCCTGGCTCTCAAGGCCCCCAGGCCGGCCTGCACTGGGCTCAGGCAGGATGCAGGAGGTGTGCAGGGGCTGGGCGCACGGAGAGCAGCAAGACTCGGGGCCCCAGGAAGGGGTGGGCCCTGCCCTCCCGGCACCTCGGGGTGGGGGGCGGAGGAGCCCCAGGCTGCAGAGGGCAAGGGAGTGACCCCGCGGTGCCTGTTGTCCACAGAGGGGGCAAGAACGAGCCAGAGCCAGAGCAGCCCATCCCCCGCAAGGTGCAGATCCGCTCGCTGCCCAGCCTGGAGGACATTGACCCCGATGTGCTGGACAGCATGCACTCTCTGGGCTGCTTCCGGGACCGCAACAAGCTGCTGCAGGACCTGCTGTCCGAGGAGTACGTTGGCGGGGGGCTGCGGTGCAGCCTGGCCGGGGGCCCCAGCAGCCCCTCCCAGGCAGGCGGCCATAGGGTGGGACCCCATCCAGGAACGGACTTGCCAACCCTTCTTGGTGCTTCTCACCCACTGCAGGGAAAACCAGGAGAAGATGATTTATTTCCTTCTCCTGGACCGGAAAGAAAGGTACCCGAGCCATGAGGACGAGGACCTGCCCCCCAGAAATGAAATAGGTATAAGGTGGCAGGGTGGCCTGGCCCCATGCTGCCCCTCCCAGGCCCAGCGGGCTGCCTCGCCCTGACCCCTGTCTGCACACAGACCCTCCCCGGAAGCGTGTGGACTCCCCAATGCTGAACCGGCACGGCAAGCGGCGGCCTGAACGCAAGTCCATGGAGGTGCTCAGCGTGACGGACGGTGGCTCCCCGGTGCCCGCACGACGGGCCATCGAGATGGCCCAGCATGGCCAGAGGTGCGTGCCTTCCAGGAGGACCCAGCGCTCTGCCTCCTGGTGGCCTGGCCCGGTTGGCGTTGGCACTGCTCATGGCCTGTGCTGGGCCTGGCATGGCTCATCTCTGCCCCCCAGCCCTGGGGCTGGGCCAAGGCCACTGGGTGGGCCTGGACCACGCTGTGCTAGGGGCTGGGCCGGGCTGCTCAGGCTGCTTGTGCTGGACTGGACTAAGCTGAACTTGGCTGGGCTGAGTGAGCTGAGCTGGGCTGGACTGTGCTGAGCTGGGCTGGGCTGGATTGGACTGAGTTGGACTGGGCTAGACTGACCTGGTCTGGGGTGGACTGAGTTGGGCTGAGCTGGACTGCGCTGAGCTGGGCTAGACTGAGCTGGACTGGGCTGGATTAGACTCAGCTGGACCAGGGTGGACTGAGCTGGGCTTGGGCTGGGCTGGACTGGACTGGACTGGGGTGGGCTAGACTGGGCTGCACTGGGGTGGACTGAGTTGGGCTGAACTGGACTATGCTGGGCTGAGCTGGGTTGTACTGTGCTGAGCTGGGCTGGGCTAGACTGGGCTGGACTGAGCCGGACTGGACTGAGCTGGACTGGATTGGGCTGAATTGGGGTGGATTGAGCAGAGCTGGGCTGAGCTGGGTGGGTTATACTGAGCTGAGTTGGGCTGGACAGGACTAGGCAAGACTGGGCAGGGCTGGGCTGGACGGAGCTGGGCTGGACGGAGCAGGATTGGCCTGGACTGGACTCGACTGAGCTGGACTGAGCTGAACTAAGCTGGACTGGACTGAGCTGGGCTGGACTGGGGTGGACCGGGCTTTGCTCTGTTGGCCTGGGTTGTACTGGGCTGGGCAGGCCATCTGGAACAGGGTCGGGCTGGACTGGAGTGGACGGCACTTGGCTACACTGGGATCAGGCCGTGTTCAGAGCCACCCAGCAGGCCTGTCCCCGCTTGATGCTGGCCCCATGTTTGGGTTTCCTGTGGTAGTGTGGGGGTCAAGGACAAGAGGGGAATTCTGCCTGGCCACGAGCAGGTCCGGGCTGTCCCAACAGCGCCCCCTGGAGGAAGGAAGGGCGTCCTGGTCCTGCAGAGCCTCTGCTGATTCTGGCCGTGGCCAGGAGGGGCCCTCGGCCAGTCCTCATCCTGGCGCTGGGCAGGGCCTGCTTGGGGAGGGGCCCACTGTTCCTGCCCAGGTGGGGATTTTTGCCATAGCTCTTGGACCTGGGAGACCCAGCTCTGGGGCTGCCCCTGGCCAGCTGGGGGCTGAGTGCTGGGGACAGCCGGGCCTCTCAAGGTATTTGCCAGGAAACAGGGCCACCATCAGGATTAAACTGGGCTGGCGGTCCTCAGCTCCCTTGGTGGTCCCAGGCCTCCCCCATGGAAACGGGCTGGCTCTAGACCGCCACGGGCCACTGCCCATGGGCTCCGGCACTGGGGGGCTGGGGAGGGTGGGGGGAGAAAGGTCTCTGCTGGCTGAGCTCCTGCCCTGACTGTGCCTCGCGTCCTGCTTGTTGCGGGTACCCCTCTCCCCAGCAGGCCCCCAGGGTGAGAGGCCACCTCTCCCCAGCCCACCTTTCCTGAGCCTTGCCCCTGCTCAGTGCAAGCTGAGTGCTGACGTGGGGCCCACTGCATCCTGGCCACCCCGCGTGCCTCCCTCACCTGCCTGGAGCAGGGGCTGGGCATGGGAGGCCACAGAGCCCAGTGTCCTGCTCTGCCTTCCAGGCCTGGCTGCCTCGGGGTGGGAGGAGCGGGGACGGGGTCAGCCGTGGACCGTCCCGGCGGCCCCTGGAGCGTCCCTTCCTCCCGACACCACCTGACCTGCCACTGCCGCTCCAGGCCCCGCTGCTTCTTCTGGCTTGGGCCACCGGCTGGGGCTGCAGGGGTCCTAGGGCTGGTGGTGGGTGCTGGGCATCCTCCACGGCCTGGCCACCCCCCCCCCCCCACCACCCAGCAGGTCACCAGGGTGGGGTGCGCTGTGGCCCTGGCTCTCTCCTGCCTGACCTCCCCTCGTGCCTGTGTGCCTGGCCTGGGGCCAGGTGGGCCATGCCCAGCTTGTGTGGAGCTGTGCGGAGGTCCAGCCTCCCGGGCCGCCTGGTGGGGCTGCGTCAGTAACTCTGTTTTCTCGCTTTGTTCCTGCTGTAGTAAAGCAATGTTCAGTAAAAGCCTGGATATCGCTGAAGCCCACCCCCAATTCAGCAAAGAAGACAGGTATACACCCTGCCCACCCATCCCCCGCCCCCCAGCCCCAAGGATGACGGTGGGCCTGGTGGCAGGGCTGGGCCTGAGGTGCTTCCAGCCCTCGCAGCTCTGGCGAGGGAGACCTCCAGCTAGCTGGGGAAGGGCCTGGGCCAGGCGGGCCTGAGGCCCCGAGGAGGCGTGGGCTGCCGGGGCAAGGCCAGTGGCCGGCCTGACCGGGTGGGGAGACCCACTGCGCTCTCCCTGCCCGGGCACTCCCGAGCATCTGCAGGCTGTGAGGCCTCAGTGGAAGCGGCAGCCCAGGGCGGTGGCAGGCTCCCCAGGATGTGGCAGGAGGCATGCCGGTCTCAGGGGTCTCTGCATGGGGCCCGGCATTCCTGAGCCCCCCAGCCCTGCCTCTGCAGGGCCTCCTGCCCGTGGCCGACAGCGGTCGGGCCTCACCCATTTCCCCCCCGCCTGCTCCCACACCTGCCCGTGCCCCTGCCTGCTCACTGCTGGCCTCTCGCCACCCCCGTCGCCCCGCCCTGGCTGCTCTGCCTGCTGGCCCCCTCCTTTCTGTCTCGGACAGGTGCGGCCGGGTTAGGACGCTGTGGAGGCAGCCCCACCCCTCTCCCTTCCACTGCTGCTTTTCTGGTTTCCTTGTGCCAAGTGACGAGCGCATGGCTGGCTCAGTGGCAGGCAGGCCCCAGGCACCGGGTCTCACTCTTGGCTGCTGCCCGGCCAGCCTGTGACTGCTGGGGTGGGCACCAGCCGGGACCGACGGCCCCCACTCCCTTCCCAGCATCTGAAAGCTTTGGACCCAGGCCTGGCTGCGGGCAGGCTGGGCTGGGGGGCCGGGAGCAAGGTCAGCGCCGTCCCCTGGCTCTGTCTGTGGCTTTGTTAGGTGGAGGAGCTGGAGGGTCACTGCTGTGGGGCCCCCGCCCACAGATGCCAGGGCCCTGGTCAGAGTGGGCTCAGCTCCTCCCTGAGGCCCAGGGACTGGGCCGGGCTGTGAGTGGGTGGGCGGGAGCCCTCTTGGGGCCGGGCGGACTGGTGCGGGCAGGCCTTCACTCTTTTCCTCTTCTCTCCTGTGGCTGCCTCGGCCCCCTTCCCTGTTTCCTTCCTCGAAGGGTGGCAGGCGCCAGCACCCAGGGCTGAGCAAGCATGGTGTACCTTCCCTGAGGCCGTGTGGTGTGGTGGAGTGAGGCCCCTCCCTCGCAGGGTGCCCAGGTCCTGCCCCACCAGGTCTGCGGGCCCAGTGGGGCTGGTGGTGGACAAGGCTGGTGGTCCCAGCCAGCACTCACCCCAGCTTGGCCTTGCCCAGGCCCCCGTGGTACCAGCGAGCAGAGAGCTATGGGCTGGCGTGCTGTGGGCACCTTTGGGCCGGGCAGGTGGGACATGGGCATGGCAGGGCTGGGCTAGTGCCCACGTGGTGGCCCACGTGCTAGGATGGGAGGCTGTCCGCCGAGCACAGGACTCAGGGCCTATGACAGTTCAGCCTTGGGGGTTCTGGTTGGGCTCGGGGCACTGGAGGCTGGACAATGGACCTGACATGGGGGCTGGATGCAGCTCCCAGGAAGCGCCCGTCTCCCCTCATCCCTCTGTCCGCCCAAGCCCCTGACAGGCCCTTGCTGAAGGCTCCCGGTGCCGTCCTGGGCCTGGGCCTTGGCCACGGGACAGCTCCCACGTAGAGGAGAGGAGCCCGGAGACAGGCTCTGACGGGGCCCCTGAAGGGGCTGTGGGGCCCTCCTGGGCCCCGGGAGAGGCGGGGTGGGGACAGGGGACAGCCGTGCGTGTGGCCAGGTGTGCGCAGGACAGGGGGGCCTCAAGGCTCTCGGCCGGGGCTCCCGGCCTCTTGGAGGGTCCGCCCGGGGGAGAGAAGCTGAGAGCCGCGGCCCCTCCCGGCTGACCCGCCCCGCACCTGTGTCCACAGGTCCAGGTCCATCAGCGGCGCCTCCTCGGGCCTGTCCACCAGCCCGCTGAGCAGCCCCCGGGTGAGCCCCTGCCCCGCCCCACCCCCCCAGCTCCGAGAGGCCCAGCGTGCACCGGGGTGGGGGGCGGCAGGGGAGGCTCCCTGAGCCCGGGCTGGGCCCGCGTCCCCCGCCTGCTGCTGGGGCTGCCGCGTGGTTGCTGCTGCTGGGGCTAACTGCACGTTCTTTTGTTTTGTTTTCTCCTGTGTTATTTGTTTTCCTTTATGGCAAACGCTCCCACCCCCACGCCTGCCTGTCCCCGCTGGTCCTGCCCTGGGGTCCTGCTTGAACGTTTCTGGTCCGCCTGGTGCTGTGCATGCGGGGGGCGGCGGGCACTTGCATGGCGGCTCTCGCGGACCCCCGCACTATGCTCCCTGCCCTCTGTGCCTGCCCTGTAGCCTGTTAGAAAGTTTGCCCTGCCTCCCCCGCCCCCCGAGAGCCCCTCTGTGGCCTGCCCCCTGGCCACCTCCGTGGAGCCTGAAGCTTGTCGGAGCGCCTCTCGGCCCGGACACGTCCTCCCTCCACAGGCCGCCTTGCGGCCCAACCCCAAGACCCAGACCTTGCCGAGCAAGGCCAAGCTGACCGACAAGCCGCTGCAGGGCACCAAGTCCAACCCACTCCCGGCCGGCACCCAGGCCCGACCCTCTGTCCCGGGGGGCCTAGGCCCCCAGCTGGCCCTGCCCCCGGGCCCGCCGACCATGCCGGCTCCCATCCGGCTCCCGACCGCTGGGACTGAACCCAACACCAAATCTGTCCCTACCATACAGGTGACCCCTCACCCCTCTCCAAGGGGCAGTCCCCTCCCCACCCCTAAGGGGACGCCTGTGCACACGCCCAAGGAGAGCCCGGCAGGTACGCCCAACCCCACGCCACCGTCCAGCCCCAGCGTCGGAGGGGTGCCCTGGAGGACGCGGCTCAACTCCATCAAGAACAGTTTCCTGGGGTCACCCCGCTTCCACCGCCGGAAACTGCAGGGTCAGTGGAGAGAAGGGGGGCTGCGAGGGTGGCAGGGCCTGCCCCCCCTTCTGTGCTGTGCCAGTACCCCAACCACTAGCAGGGCAGTGGTCGGTGTCCTCTAGGCTGGCACAGGCCCAGGCAGTGCCTGCGGACGGCTGCTTGCTCCCAGGCCTGCCCACTGTGTGTCGGGGGCCCCTCCCAGCTCCTGGGCTTCTCTTCAGCCCAGTGGCCACCTTGAAGCCGGGCTGCTTGAGCCCTGGGAGGACAGCCGGCCGCCGGGTGGGTAGGGGAGCGGGCCGTCAGCAAGCCCGTGGGATGGGGCAGCGGTGGGCAGCTCATTGCTGTGCGCTGGGTGCCGAGGGTCAGTGGGCACTGCCTGGCCACCCGAGCCTCCGGCACAGCCGATGGGTGGGCCTGGGTGACCAGTGCCATCTGTCGGGGGGACAGCAGGGCTGGCTGTAGGCCAGAGACGTTCTGGCCCGATTGCAGCACCAGAGGCAGGGGCAGCCCCGTGGCCCTAGGCTCCGGCGGGGGCCAGGAGCTTGTGGGGTGGCCCTGTGAGACCCCGGTCACGGTGCGGGGTTGGGGGGGCCCTGGTGAGGGCAGGGCAGAGTGGTCACGCCTTCTCTCCCTGTCCTTCCCATGTGTGTGCAGTTCCAACACCCGAAGAGATGTCCAACCTGACCCCGGAGTCCTCTCCAGAGTAAGTGGTCGCTGCCCAAGGTCAAAGGGTGAGCCACTGGCTGGCCTCCCTCCCGGTGCCCAGACGCCAAGTACGTGGGGGGGCCCATGCTGGACCCTCCCGCATGGCAGGCCAGGGGGCCCACGAGGGCTTTGGGGCAAAGAACCCCAGCCCCTACAGGTCCTGTTCCCCTCTCCCTGGGACCCTGTGCTTGCCCAGATCCCCCCGCCAGCCCCTGCCTGGGACACCTCCTCTTCAGCACCCACATCTCTGTCTCCGGCACTTTGAACGCCAGGTTGGGGAGCGGGGCCTGTGCTGCTGAGGGAGCCGGCCGGCTCTTCCTGGCCCTACCCCAAAGCCACAGCCTGGGGCTGGCTGGAGGCAAGGGACGGCACAGCCATGCTCGGAGGGGCTGAGGCACGCCAGCTGAAAGCCCCAGCCTCCGCGTGGGGGGGGGAGGCTTGCGGACCGGAGGCCGAGCCCTCGTGGCAGGGCAGGCGTGCTCACCCTGCTCTGGACACAGGCTCAGCCCTGCACACGCCCAGTCCGGGGAGCCCAAGAAGGACCAGCCTGTGGTGTTTGCAGCAGGTAGCCTCTCCACCAGGGAGGGCTGCGCTGGGCAGAGTGGAGCCTGGAACACAGCCGGAAACTTGGGGGCTCATAGGGATGGAGCGTCTCAAGGCAAAAACACGGCGCTGGCCAAAGAGGCGGAGGGACAGCCCCGGGACGGCCTGGTGGGGACACGCGTCCAGGGGAGGGTGGCATTGTTCAGGGCCAGGAGCAGAGCAAGCCCTCATCTGACCCTCACCCAGAGGAAGGAGCAGGGTCCATGGGAGGCGATGGGCAACAGATCCACAGCTCACCCCGCCGCCAGTCTGGACTGGGGCGGAGACCCTGGAGCGGCCCTGCCCCCACTCTCCCGCCCTGGCGGTGGCCTTGGGCCTGCAGCCCTGGAGGACGCCGCGCGAACAGGAGTTGCGCTGTGGGTGCAGGGCAGGCCTCGCGAGGGGCACAGGCAGCCTCCTCAGAGGCCCCTGTCTCATCACTGAACAGGAGGTGCTACAACCTGGCGTGCTTTGCGTGGGGCCTGGGCACACGGCCCATCCCACCGTTAGTGCCCCTCGGCCGGAACTTCCTGCTGTTGTCACCGCGCTCACAGACACCCCTGTAACGTAACTGTTGGGTATCCAGGCAGGTTAGAGCCCACGGCACCCGACGCCGTGTAGGTGGCCCACAGCCTCCCATCCTCAAGTCCGTCTGGAGGCCTCGCCCCCTCCCGGGGGTCCTGGCCAGCGCCCACCACCCGGCAGTTGTGGCCGGTGCGCCCGAGCAGATGCGCCGTGGCCCGGGAGGCCATAGCAGCTCACGCCCCAGCACCGCCTCCTGCAGAGGACGCGCTCGGCCGTGGCGCGTCAGGGCTCGTAGGGAAGCACCAGTGCGGTGCTAGGGCGGATGGCAGGTCTGAGGCCGTAGGTTCGGCAGGCGGAGGTTCCAGTTTGGGTGACGTCACAGCCTTGAGTGTGACGTGTGCAGGTGGGGAGTTCACGCTGCGGTGTTGAGTTGAGCAGAATTCCTTGGGGAAGCTGCAGCCTTTGTTCCTGAGGCCTTCACCTGCTTGGACGAGGCCCACCACACCAAGGAGAGTGGTCTGCTTTACTTGGAGACGCCCGGCGGCTGCTGGATGGCCCAGCTGACACTGAAGTCGGCCGGCGCTGCCTCTCTGGCTCCTTCAGGCTTCTTCCAGGCACGGGACTGCCTATTACACCAGATGCGAAACTGCTGGCTGCCGAACTATAAACAAGTCATGTTTTCGGTGTTCTTCTTCATCAAGGGAGGAGAAGCAGAAACCCCTTATGCGGGTTCCAGAACTGCCCCCCGCCCCCCCCCCCGAGTATGTGCCGGGGCACGGCAGAGAGCGCCGGACCCGGAGCGGACAGCGGGCAGGAGGGCAGGATGTGGGGAAGGAGGCGGAAGTGGCCGGTGACCAGGGCGTCCGGCAGACGGACCTCCCTGTCTTCACCTCTGCGCTGTTGTTGGGTCGGGATCCCTGGGCCAAGCAGAGGCCAGTTCTGGAACTGGGCAGGGAAAGGGGAAGCCACATGGTCAGGAAAACCACCGAGAGGTGCCAGAGCACCGGCCCCTGCGGCTCCCGCTGCCAGCGCCAGTGGCGCAGCAAGATGCTGGGCCGGGGCCCTCCTGGGCCTCGCCGTCTGAAGGGGCGGAGCCCCAGGGCGGCTGTCAGGACGCGTCAGCACTGCAGCCTGGCGGACTGTTCCGAGCTCAGCGCCTTAAACACCACGAGCTCCACGTCTCAGGCTCTGCGGGTCGGGCTGCAGGCCGGGCCAGCTGGGCCCTCCGCTTTCTAGAGTCAGTGGGCTGTGGTCACCTCCAGGCAGGCTCAGCTGGGGCAGCACCTGCGGCCCAGCTCCCTCGGTCGTCGGCGGGATTCAGGGCCTGTGGGCTGCTGGGCTGCGGGCCTCTCCGTCATGTCAGGGGGCTCCGTCGCCATGCAGTGGAGGCCTGCTAGCAAGCAGGAGACGTGGGTGGCCTTGAGTCCCGTGTTCTTGGAGGAGACATCTGTCCATTCATTCTGCTTAGAAGCAAGGCCCGGCCCCATCCATGCCCCAGGGAGGGGCCCGTGCAGGCGTGCACCCAGGAGGCAGGATCTTGGGGCCAGCCTAGGGACGCCCACGCTGGTGCGCACCGCGGTGGGGGGGATGCAGACGGCGCAGGTCAGATGCAGGTGCAGGACAGAATAACAAGGCTGGACAGACGACAGAGGACATTGAGAGGCCCTGGGCAGCAGTGAGGTGAGGGGCCTCGTGCAGGATACACCCCTGCCCCACCTAGCACAGCACCCGGCTTGGAAGCAGCCTCCATGTCCCAGAGTGACCCAGGCTGGGCAGCAGGCAGCTGGGCAGCCCCTGGTCCTCGAGGACGGGGTGGCCGGGGGTGGGGGGGGAGCTGGGCTGTCCCACCAGATGGAAGGGGCATGTAGCATCCTGGGCCCCCAGGCCCCGTTGTCCATGCAGTGTCTCTCCCAGCCATTTGTCCGTATCGGCGCAGAGCTCCCCGGCCAGGCCCGACCCCGTACCGCAGCCTCCCACACTGCCCCTGCTCCCCATGCAGCCCCAGGCCAGGGGGCACCTTCCTCCAGGCTGCTGCAGCATTGCTGCATAGCAAATTCCCTCAAAACTTGGTGGCTTAAACAGAGAGGAGTAAGGCTGGGGCTCAGGGTGAGCTCTACTTTCCTTTCTGGTGGGTTCTGGTGGGCAGTGCCCAGACCCAGGCGGGCATATGGGGGAATGGGGCCAGGCCAAGACCGTGGGATGAGCATTAGGGCTGTGGGGTGAGGGTGGAAGGAATCGGGGGCCAGGGCAGGAGTTGGGTGGGAAGGGAGGAGTTGGGGCAGTAAGCTGGCCCTGGCCAGGAGGGGAGGGCGGGCCTGTCCTCAGAGGCTGGGCTGACAGTGAGCGTACCTGCCCGCACTTCCCTCCCCCAGGCTTGCCAAGAAGTCCTGGTTTGGGAACTTCATCAACCTGGAGAAGGAGGAGCAGATCTTCGTGGTCATCAAGGACAAGCCCCTGAGCTCCATCAAAGCTGACATTGTTCACGCCTTCCTGTCGGTGAGAGCCTCCCACCCATCTGGGGACGCACATCCTACACAGACACTGGCTCCGGCCTGCCTGGCTGGACCCAGAGGGTCACTGCACGGGCCCCTGGCCTGGGGAGGGAGGCCGGCCCTCGTTCTGAGCAGCCCTGGCTGTGGGAGCACCACCGAGACAGGGAGTAAAGCACAGGCAGCTCACAGGGGAGGGGACCTCTGCCGGGTCCCGTCCCAAGAGGCCTCTCTCCGTTTCCCGTGTGCGCTCCCCCACCCCCACCGGCTGCCGCCTCCTGGAGCCCCTGCCTCCTGCTGAGGCCTGGCGGCTCCCTGAGGGTGGGCCGCACTCAAGCCTTGGGTGCACTCCGTTTGTCTTTGGGAGCTCTTTGAGCACGTGGAGCAGAAAGCCCTGAAGGTTTGCTTCCGGAGTCCTGTCAGGGGGCCTGGCCCGGTGCTGGGTCCCGGGGGGATCACAGCAGCCCTGCAGCTGAAGCTGCCCCACCCCCATCAGGGCCGGGGCCTGCCACGGGGGTTTCTTCAGCCTGGTGCAGCCTCAGCCCAAGTTGCCCAAGGGCAGGGGACCACCTGCCATGGCAGCCTGCCCTCCTCCTTAGGGCCCCTGCTCCGGGCCTCCCTCTCCCTCTCCCTCTCCCTCCACCTCCACCTCTGCAAGATCCTCCCCCGGTCAGCTTCCCGGCAAGGGCTGGGCCTTCCGGCCTCTCCTGAGCCGCAGAGCCCTGTCGTAGGAGTGACTCCTCCAGGGCAAGACTGCCTCCTGACTTTGTTTCAAGGGCATTTCCCTTTGCTGCCCGTATGTCAAGTGCACAGGGGCCCCTCTGCCCGCACTGGGAGCGGCGCCCTTCCCGAGCCCACAGAGCGGCAGGGTGTTGTCCTCGGCAGTGGCCGTGAGGCCCCAGCCTCTGGAGGCTGTCACGCTGGTCCCAGCAGCTGCTCCACGGGGTCTCCTTGTTCCTGTCTCCCCCGACCCTCTCCTCTTCCACTCTGCTCCCACGTCCCCAACCCACACACAGGCAGAGAGGTACAGGCTCCTGCCCGGCTCGCGGGGGGTGCGAGGGGGGCCGTGCGGGGCCGGCCGGTGCCCAGCACACTCATGCTGCCCCACCACCCCGCAGATCCCCAGCCTCAGCCACAGCGTCATCTCCCAGACAAGCTTCCGGGCTGAGTATAAGGCGACGGGGGGCCCGGCGGTGTTCCAGAAGCCGGTCAAGTTCCAGGTGGACATCACCTACACCGAGGGCGGGGCGGCACAGAAGGAGAATGGCATCTATTCCGTCACATTCACGCTCCTGTCAGGTGAGCCACGGGCCCGGGGCGCGGGCTCCGGGCTACAGCCCTGTCCTGGGCATGACCCCCTGTCTCCCCCAGGCCCCAGCCGCCGCTTCAAGAGGGTCGTGGAGACCATTCAGACCCAGCTACTGAGCACACATGACCAGCCCTCCGCCCAGCATTTGTCAGGTGAGGCGGGGGCTCAGCTCGGGCCGCCCTGCGGGCTGGTGAGCAGGGGTGTGGCCCCTCCGCCGTGCCCACTTCCCTGCCCACCCAGGGGGCGGGGCCCTCCCGGCGCAGTGGGCCGGCCCGTCTCTGCCCACCCAGGGGGCGGGGCCCTCCCGGCCCTTCCCTGCCCCCAGGGGGCGGGGCCCAGCACACCACACTGAAAGGCGCCTCTTGTCCACTGTAGAACCCCCCCCGCCAGCGCCAGGACTAAGCTGGGGCGCTGGGCTTAAGGGCCAGAAGGTGGCCACCAGCTACGAGAGTAGCCTCTGACGCTGGCAGGTAAGGTGTCCGGCCCCGCTGCAGGGGCAGGGAGGGGGCTGTGGGCAGGTCCTCCGGCGAGAGCCACACTGGCCCTGAGAAGACCGCCCTGTGCCCACTCACACACCCAGCGGCCAGCTCCCGGCCCTGGACAGGCCACACAGGGCCCAGCACCCAGGCTGAGCAGCCAGGCCCGGGCAGCCTGGCCCCGGGCCAGCAAGAGCAGCGGCCAAGGTCCTGCCTGGGAGCCCTCCGCCCTCGGAGCTCCCCCAGCGGCACGCAGCGAGGCTGTGGGCCTAGCGCCCACACTGGCTGACACGTGGTGGGGCTGCCTGCCGCCTGCCTTCCCCGTGACAGGCCTGTGATTGTCTGGCCATGAGTTCCCAAAGGAGGGGCTCCCCAGCTGGGCCTACAAGGGGTCACACAGGGAAAGGGGTGGCCCAGGCCTGGAGGTGCTGGGGGTCCGAGGGCCTCAGGGCCCACACCGCTCAGCATCTGGTGGGGAGTGGGCTACGTGCCCACCGTGGGTGGGAGTGGGAGAGCCCATGTCTGGGCAGGGTGGTCCGTTAGCAAGGGTGTGGTTGCTGTCAGGATGGTGGTAAGGCACGGCTTGCCGTGAGGCCTGTGTCAGGGTTTGGGGTCCGGAGCACAGCATCCAGCCCGAGCCCTGAGCATCCCCCGTTGGCTGGAGCCTCAGTGGGCCCTTCCTCCAGCCCGGTGGGGTCCGAGAGGCCAGACTGGCCCCATCTGTTCCCCCCCCCCTTCCCCGCCCCTGCCATCCTCATTTCATCGTGTGTGTTACCCTTTTCTCCCCCAGCACGTGCCTCGTCACCCCACGGGCAGGTCAGGGCAGGGGTGGCCCCAGCAGCCTGGTCCCGGGAGCCAGTCTGGCATTGGAGGCAGGGCGTGGGGGCGGAGGTGGCTCCCTGAGCCTTCAGGGCTTCCATCTCAGAGCACAGTAGGGCTGACAGAGGGAAACTGAGGCCAGGGAAGAACAGAGCTTGTCCAGTGAGGTGAGCAAAAGGCTAGGGCCTGGTGTGCCGCCCAGCAGATGCCCAGGCCTGCAGCCACTGTCTGGGGGCTGCAGTCTCCCTGCTCCTGGCTAGGCCATGGACAGTAACCTCAGAGAGGTCATTCTGCCCTTGTTAGCAGGCGTCCCTCATGCCAAGTCTCAGGCACAGCAGTGAACAAGGTGGACACCACCCTCCCCCTGGGCTCTACTGCCAGTCCTAACCCCATTCCAAAGCAGGGCCCTTGGTTAGCCCTGTGCCCAAACCTCTGTCCCTGCAAATTCTTGGGTACCCAATCTGGGGCCCAAGCCCGTCTCCCCTGCCCTCCTTCAGGGGGCCTTGGACCTGGGGAGCCTAAGCCAGGACCCCAGCCCATACCCTGGCCCCATCCCCAGGCCTCCGGATGGGTCTCCCTGGCCTTTCCCAGCACCCTCCCTCCCGCTCCAGGTGCTCTTGTCTGGTGAGCTCAGTTCTAGAGCCGCTGTGAGCAGGGGGCAGAAGTGCCTCTCAGCTTCCAGGGCAAGAGACCTGGTGGTCGCTCCAGTAGGGACAGGAGGCCCAGAGGTCGCATCCCACCCAACAGAAGCTCCTGTGAGGGCCCTGAGGGCGGAGCCTCCCACCCTAGGCCCCTGCCAGCACCAATACTCCCAGGCCCAGCAGAAGGTGGGAGAGGGCCAGGGAAGGCGGGGCAGCACGAGCTGAGGGGCAGTTGGGAGCCACGCAGCTGCTTGAGCTGCCCAGTGGCAGAGTGAGGACACACAGATGGCCGGAGTAGACCACAGCCAGAGCCCTGGGCTTCTCGGTTCCAGAGCCTATGTCTTGGGCCCAGGGCAGGACAGAGCGGACCGAGGGCCAGGCAGGCCCAGGGCACCCAAGGGGCAGGGCCACGTCCCATGTTCCTGCTCTGGTTGTAGGAGGACTCCCCTCCGCCCAGGAGAAGGCCCCCACTCAGTGCCCATAGTCTGAGCCAGCGCCACCCAGGCTCCACCCCCAGCCCCGCCCCAGCCCGGCCCCGCCCCCCGCAAGCCCCACCCTGCTCTGGGCTCCCCCTCGTCTTGCCCGTCTCCCCAGGCAGCCGGTCCCAGCAAACCCCCTACTCGGCTATGGCCAAGCCCCACGCCGGGCTCTGCCTCTCCCTGAGGGCCTGGCCAGAGGCTGAGGGCAGCGCCTGGCCAGGGGTCCAAGTGGGAAGACTTTTTCACACGTCTCCCCCCCTCCTTTCTCCATTCTGTGCTCCAGACACCACTAACTGTATGGAAATGATGACGGGGAGGCTTTCCAAATGTGGTAAGAACCCCTCACGCTCACCTGGGACCCCCCCCAGCCTGTCACCCCCACCTGCAGCCTGCTCCTGGCAGGGTGCCGCCCCCGCCACCCTGAGGGCTATCCTGGGGTCCCTGTGTATACGCGGGGTCCAGATGTGCACACTCAGGCCCACCCAGTCCCCCACCTCTGCCAGGAGCAGCCTCAGTCACCCACCCCCTAGGGCAGCCATAGGCCCGGCCCTAGGATCCAGGCAGGCCAGGAAGGGACCCCAAAGGCTCAGAGCCGTAAAAAGTCCCCATGCCCCAAGTTTGGCAAGGGTCCCATGTGTGGGCTCTGGCCTGGGGTCTGGGTAGACTCCAGATCTTGGGCAGGAGGCTGGTGTAGAGCTTTCTGTCCACTGGAGGGGGGATGACAGTGTGCTGTGCATGCACACCGTTGCTCTGGGCTGGGGGCGTCAGGAGTAAGGAGTAGAGCAGAGCAGAGGCGTCGGGACAGAGAACAGGCCCACCCAGGTGGGGGTGGTCAGACCATTCCTGCCCTCAGGACATTCCCTCTGGGGTCAGGGCTCCCACTCTGGCTGCCTGCCCCCAGCCCTCCCACACCCAAGCCCTCCATGCCTGTCCACCCATCCGTCCATCTGTCTGTCTGCTGCTGACCTCTGTCCACGCGGTGCTGCCTGGGCTGGCCAGGGGCCGGGCTCCAAGCCTCCTGGGAGGAGTGTGGTGGGCACACTGGCTCCAGCCTCCCCAGCCCAGAGGAGGCCCCCTGGCCCCCTGCACGGAGCCAGCCTGGGGTCCCAGGCTCCTGCTCAGCCCTGGGGCTTGGGGCAGTGCTGGTGTCTGTGCCTCAGTGTCCAGAGTGGGGCTGGCCGGCTGGCCAGGCGCTGGGGTGGCTGAGGGGGGACTGGTGGCTGAGGTGGAGGGGGCCAGGCCTGGTGAGGGAGGAGGGGTCTCTCCACCTGCCCGCCCCGCTTGCTGCCCACCTGCCCCCGCCTGCCGAGCCCGGCTCAGACCTCATCTCGCTGGGTTTTCTTTCTCTCGTGGAGACCCTTTCGTTCATTTGTTTGTTCTCTCTCTCTCTCTCCTTACCCCTTCCTCTTTCTCTTCTTTTCTTTTTTCTTGTTTTTTTCTTTTGTCTTCTGTTCTGTGTACCCAGGCAGCCCATTGAGTAACTTCTTTGACGTAATTAAACAACTTTTTTCAGACGAGAAGAACGGGCAGGCGGCCCAGGCCCCCAGCACGCCCGCCAAGCGGAGTGCCCACGGCCCCCTCGGTGACTCCGCGGCCGCTGGCCCCGGCCCTGGAGGGGACGCCGAGCACCCGACGGCCAAGGACACGGCCAGGACGGGGCCGCCCGCCGCCCGCCGCGAGCAGCCTTAGACCCATAGCCCCCTCCCCAGCCCGGCTCGGCCCGCCAGGGGCCCGCCCGGCTCGCCCCGCCGCCCGCCCCGCCCGGCCCGCGGCGACGCCGGGGAGGAAAGGAAAGGGGGCACCGGGGGCCACCGCCTGCGGCTGGGCCCGCCCGTGCCCGCTCTCTCTTTCTCCTGCTGTCTCTCTCTCTGCCTGTCTCTGACAACGTCACTGTTTCCGCTCTGATACCAGGAAGTATCCCGAAAAGTTAACATGTCACCTCCACGAGGCCATCCTCTGTGCTCCGCGCCGGACACCGGCTGACCGAAGGCAGCTGCCGCGGACCTGCCCTCCCTCGTCTCCTGCTGCCGCCCGCGGCGAGGCCCCGCCCGCCCGCGCGCCGGCCCGCGGAGCGGCTCCGCCGGGGCTCGGCTCCGGACTCCGGGGACCACCGCGCGGCAGGCCCGGCCCGGCCAGGCCGGCGTCCGGGGCAGGGCCGCGGCGGGTGGAGCGGCGGAGCGGCCGACTCGGCCGGCCAGCCTCTGCCCGCGGCCGCCCCCCCCCCCCGCCCCCCGCCCCGGCTCCGCCCGGCAGCCGCCCCTCCCGCCGCTCGCTCGCTCGCGTCCGCCCCGTCCCCCGGTCCCCCGCTCGTCTGGGGCTGCCGCGTGCTCTCGCGCTTGGCGACCCTTCCCGGCCCCGGTGGACACTGACCCCGGAGGCCCCGGAGTCGCCTGCCTGCGCCAGGGCTGGCCGAGATCAGTATTATTTATTTGCTCTTTTAACTTATTGAGTTTCCTTACTTCTCTGTTCAGGGAAGGGGCAGCAGCAGCGTCCTCCTGCCGTCTGTCTGTCTGTGTGTCTTGGGCAGGGTGGGGTCTAGGGCCGAGGCGCCCGAGGATGGAGCCGTCAGAGCGCCGGGGTGGGGGGGGCGGGGGGACGGCAGGGGCGGGCCGGCGGATGCAGCGCCGGCAAGCTACTGTAAACTTTAAAGAATTCCTGCAAGATATTTTTATAAACTTTTTTTTCTTGGTTGTTTTTGGAAAAGGGTGTGGGGGTGGGGGGAGCCGCTGGGGCAGGGCTAGGTTTTGTGTTCAGTTCTTTCTATATACATACACATATATATATTTAAAGAACAGCGCGGTTCGCTCTGTCCCATGTTCTGTCCCGTTACTGTGTAGAAGCGACTCCAGTCCCATGGGGGGGGCAGGGCACGGTCTCCAAGCAGGATGGCACCGCCCAGGGCCCCCCCCCCGTCAGGCCCAGGCTAGGGACGATCTTGGTTTTGTGTCTGAGAGTGGGGGTAGGACGAAGGCCCTGAGCTGGCTCCCACACAGGACAGCAGAGGCACCGCAGGGTTTTTTACTAAAATGACAAAAAGTAAAAAAAAAAAAAAAAAAAAAAAAAGTTGGCGGCGTCCTCCACAGTGTGTGTTCTCTGTACACAGCGAGGTGGTGGGGTGCGGCTGCCTCACTTCGTCCCTGTCCCCAGCTTCTGCTTGTTTGTGTTGGTGGGCCCGGTCCCTCCAGTTTGGCACGGACCCCGTGGTGCTGCGAGTGCCCGGGGCGCCTGGCTGCCCTCGGGAGGCACCGGGCCAGCGACGGGCCAGGATGGCAGGTTTTGATTGCATGCCTTCGCTGTAACGCGTCCACTTTGCTTTGGTGTCTCTTAGCCGCCCCTCCCCACCCTGCCTCCCTCCCATCGTGGGTAGCTTTTAATGCTCTGTTACACTGACCCCCACCACAGGCTGGGGCTTCAACACATAAACAATTAAACACCTATAACAGCATAAGCCACGCGGTACAAGCGGGAGGGGCTTCTCCAGAGACAGAAGACACCGAAAGCAATACCTCTTGTCAGCCTTCCTCTTTTGTACTTGGGACACACGCAGACGTCACGGAAATGAACAAGCCCCACCCAGTGTATCCCTTGTCAGATAACTGTGAGCAACCTTAGTTCTCGAACAATAAATTCCTTCAGTAAAAATACCCGACGCCAGTCTCCGTCCAGGCGGGTGGGGCCGGGATGCGGGACAAGCGGACCGGCTCTTGCCCCGACACACTCCCCTCGGGCTCTGCCGGGTGTGGACGGTGCTTGGCGCCCGCCCCAGAGGAAGATGACAGAGCCCTGTGCGGGGTCAGGGGCCTGCCCCCAGGCCGAGCAGGGACCACATGCTGGGCTGGGGCGGAGGGAGGCCCCCGGGGGGGCGGGGGCAGGGAGGTGCCACCTGAGGTTGACATGGACCACCACCCTGCCTGGCCACTGCAGCTCTGTACCACCCCCAGACCTCATGGGGACACTCTGGCGTCTGGAGAATGGACCTCCTTTCTGCTCTTTGCTTGGTAAGGGGCGGATGGGGCACCGTGACCCAGCCCTGGAAGTGATGGGCCGAGGCTGGTGGGCAGCCCCTGGAGGATTTGGGCTGGCCTCTCCCACAGAGGGGAAAGATCCTAGCCGTGCCCGCCACGCCTGCCAGCCACCCCTCTGCTGCTGCAGCATGAAAGCCAAGTCCAGACCCCCACAAGCCCCAGGGCTGCCAGCCCCATGTCACATGGGAGCTTCTGGGAGTCCACCCACCACACAGCCTTGACTTGACAATGGGTGAGGAGCAAACCACGCCGCCCGCAGAAGCCCTCCCAGGCCCCCCACACGGGCACCCTGTCCCCGTATGTGAGGGAGATCAGGCACAGCGTGGCCACGGGGCTTGGCAGCAGGACCTGACTGCACCCAGGGGTCTCTCCAGAGCAGGGTCCCACCACCACAGCACTGACAAGTGGGGCTGGATGGCTCTCTGGGGCGGGGGCTGACCTGCACTCTGTACAATGTCAGCATCGTCTCTGGTCTCCGCCCCCCCCCCCCCCCCCACTGGCACTAGATGCCCATAGCTGCCCCCAAGCCTGCGTGACAAAACTAGTCCCGATGTTGCTGTGGGTCCCCCGTGGGCAGAATCCGCTCCACGCTCTTACCTCCTGTGCCATCTTGCTATAGAGGGGAGCGCTGGCTTGACTCTCAAGTGTGGCGGCTCTGCGGGGACGGCAGCTGCCTCCAGCTCTGCTCAAGGCCCAGCACGTGAGGAAGCACCGGGGGACCTGGGACTGGGTGGGCTCTTCCTGGGTCAGCTGTAGAGCGGCACCCAGCCTTTTGGGAGGTGGGCGCCCAGAAGGCACTTCAGAGGTGCGGAGGGGCCAGGCTCCGCTGCAGTCACTGAGCTGCATGCGTCCCATTAGCTTCAGCTTAAAGACCGGCTGGAGGAGGGGGTCTGGTTGCTGCAGTTCAGCCGGGCCTGGTCATACAACCGCTGGGCTCCCGGGCTGCTGGCCACGGGAAAAGTCTCCCTGACCGGTGGTTCTGCACCTGCATGCGACACAGACTTCATCTTCCTCCACTCGGCCCTCTCTAACACCGGCAACGTGTCAGCCTTCACGGCCTACGCGGCGGGAACCCCCCGAGTATCACCGCACACCCAACAGACCGGCCGGCCTTCCGCCTGCCCGCCGCCACACCCCTTCCGCAGGAAGGCCACGCCTTGCAGTCCCACTCCTGACACTAGGCTCTCTCTCGGTTGTAAGAAACAGAAACCAAGGCAAGTGAAGCCAAAAACTGTTGGTATTAACATCCACTATATAAAGTATGTATAAAATAAAAACCAACCCTAAAAACTATGTAACAGACACTGTCCTGAGCACTTTACACTGAGCATTGAGCCAAATGGTCCTCATGCTATTTCTGTGAGGTAGAAAAGGAAATGGGTACTTAAACCCAGAACGATATGCTGGTGGGTCTAGCACCCGGTGAGGGGCTGGCCTCTGGGCCTGACGCGTTCCTGGGCACTGCACACTTTGGGTGCCGGCCGCTGCTGGCCTGGGATACTGGTGAACAAATTGGTGGGTGCACAACCACCAGAGTCACGGCAGAAGGGAGGTGGAGGAAGGGAACCTGACGCGTGCCCATCCTCAGGGGCTCCGGGTGCCGGCAGGTGGCAGAGGCAGGGCACAGACACCCGCGAGGGGCACGTGCTGGGCTCTGCGGAGAGCCGGCCCTGACCCTGTCCCTGCTCTCAGCTGACGGTGGAGGCAGAGGGCCCCACAGGCTCCTGGCTGAGGTAGAGCGACTGCTGGTGTGTGAGGCCAGCTTCAGGGAGGGGTGCTATGGCACCCCTGCTCACGCGTCTCCCACGCCAGGGAGCCCTTGCCGGTGGTTCTGCCCTCCCCTCTCCCTGTGGCTCAGGGCCCATTCCCCTCTGCCCTCGCCCCAGGCCACCAGGGGTGCCACCATCGAGTCCAGTGCCTGCCCCTGCCCCCGGCTTCGCCTCTCCCCATTCATTCTTCCCCCTCCTTCATCCAGCCCACTCCCCACCATCAACCCAAATTTCTTCTGCGTGATTCCTCAAGGGGTGGAGGTTAGCAGGGAGCAGAGGAGATGGCCAGGGACAGGAAGAGCATCAGGGCAGTGATGTGGGCTGGAGCAGAAGGGCAGCTAGGGCTGATGGAGGCAAGGGAGGGAGCGCCTCCGACCCGGGGGACGTGCCAGCCTTGGGGCCCGCGCGGGACAGCAGAGTCTACACTGCTGGTTACGAGACCACGTGCTGCTCTGTCAAACTCCTCCTCCGTGTTAGGCCCTGGACTAAGTGTCTTAGAGGTCATGTCCTTGTGCCCCCAGAATGACCCCACGAGAGCTCTGTGGCTCATCTTCAACATGTATTAGTGCCCTGCTGCGGCCCTAACAAACAGCACAGACCTAAAACACAAGCTGCTATCTTAAGTTCTGGAGGTCGAGCACTGGGTCTCACTGGGCTAAAATCACCGTGTGGGCAGGGCTGGTTCCTTCTGGAGGTTCTGTGGGAGGATCCACTTCCCGGCCCTTCCCAGCTTCCGGGGGCACCTGCGTTCCTTGGCATGGGGCCCTCCGCCATCCTCACCGCCAGGGACGCCAAGCTGAGTCCTCGTGCTGCCTGCCGGTCCCTCTGGTTCCTTCTTCTGCCCCCCTCCACCAGTTTTAAGGAATCTTCTGACTATACTGGCCCAGATAATCTCTGCATTTCAAGTTAAACTGATTAGCAACTTAAGTCATCTGCAACTTTTAACTCCCCTCTGCTGTGGAAGGTGTTACGCTCACAGATTCTGGGGACTAGGGTGTGGATATTTGGAGGGGGCATTATTCTGGGTGTGGAACTGCCCTCTAGCAAGTTCCACATCTATCTCACATGGAAAACACACTCACTCCAACCCGGGTCCCCCAAACTCTCAGCAGCATCAAGTCAAGCCCCAAATGTCATCTAAGTCACCTAAATCAGGTAGGGGTGAGACTCTGAGTATGATCCATCCTTGTGCAAAATCCTTTCCTTCGAAACGAGAAGTGCTACCTGCTTCCAGGATGCAAAGGTTACAGACATTCCCATCCCAAAAGGGCGACAAGGGAAGAGGGTGCGCATCACAGGTCCCAAGCAATTTCAAAATCCAGCCAGGCAAACTCCACGAGGTGCCGTCGAGGCCTGGGAAGAGCCGTGCGGCTCCAGGCCCTCCCCTCCGGGCCATGCTTTCTTCTAAAGAGACTCGGCGTCAGTTTGCAGCTGACGGTTCACCAGTGTTCCTGCCCACGGGGCCTGGGCGTCCAACAGCCTTGTACTTCATCCTCCCTCCGTGCCCTGCGGTCCCAGCTGCCAGGGTTTGACGGTGTGGCTCTCCCGTGTGTGTCACGGGGATCTGCTCCGTAAGACCGGACGCGCCTCCAGATCCTTACAAGGAAATTGTCTTTTCTGTTGTGGCTTTTGCGGAGATGCGTGAGGTGTCTACTAGTCACACACACGGTCTCTTCAAAGTTCCCTCCACGTGACTGACACTGAGCTGAGGTATCAGCAAGAGGCTGTCCAGCTACGGCCTCGACTCGTTCTCTAGAGCACATTTTTTCTGGCCATGAACCTCCTGATTTTAGTGTCTTCTGTCACTTGGCTTGGCTACGAAGCTCCCAAGTTGTCAAGGGTCAGGCCCCTTTTGTTCAAGAGCTCTGCCTTCTGATGGGCTTCCCTCTCCCACGCCACATGAGCAGCAAGAAACCAGGCTGCCCCTTCCACACCGTGCTTGGCAACCTCCTTGGCTAAATACCCAGGCGAACGGCTCCCGAGTCCTGCCCTCCAAGAACGGTGGGGCAGAACTCAGCTGGGCTTTCTGCAACGTGACACTACGCGTCAAGGGTTCCCTTTCCTCCGCGCCCACGGACACGGTCGTCCCTTCCCTGCGCCCGTCCCAGCAGTGCCTGTCACATGCCTGTTTCTGCGGACAGGTGCTCATGACGGTTTTAGGCGTTCCTCAAGGTGACTCTGCCAGGTCCCCCTCTGTGCGGTTTACGTGTGAGTCTTTGGTAGCGGCGTCATGAACACCCATACGTCCTCCTACTGATCATCTGCTTCAGAAAACCTGGACTTTTTCTACCGTGTGCCCCTCAAAATTCTTCCAGCCTCAGCCCAAGGCCACATCTACGTTTGTGTTTGCTCCGGTGGCGCCCTACCCCCGGGACCAGTCTGCATTCAGTTCCTGTCACCGCTATGGCAGGTCACCACAAAGGTAGTGGCTTATCTCAGTTCTGGAAGTCAGGAGTCTGAACTGGATCTCACTGGGCTCCAGTCCAGGTGTCGGCAGGGCTGGTTCTTCTTGAGGCTCAAGTGGGGGAAAAAAAACATTTCCTCCTTCTTCCAGCTTCTCAAGGTTTGGCACCCCCTGACTCATGGCCCCTTCTCCCACCTGTGGTGGCCAGGTCTTTCTCATGCCACACTCCTCTGCTGACAAGGACCCTTGTGCTGTGTCTTGGCTGCCAGGACGGAGCTAACAACTAGGCGGGGTGGGGGGTGGGAGGGACGGGGGGAGACGGGCTGTCCGGGCAGAGCTGGGACGCCACTGAGAGTGCTCCCCGGCAGCTGAGTTGCAGCACCGAGCCCAGCTGCCGGCGGGACCCAGGAGCGCCACATGCAGCCACCTCACTGTGTGGGCCCAGAAACTGCTGCAGAGGCCAGAAGGCCTCCCCACAGCCCAAGTGGGCCAGGGTGCTCTGGCTCTTGCAGCAAAGAGCCCGCTAGCTGGTGGAGAGCACCGGGCATCGCCCTCACCCTCGGAGGAGTACAGGCTGCTCCTCACCCTGGCTGCCTGTCCGTTCCTGGGAGACCTTCTGAGGCCTGGTGACCAGTGCTGTACCCACGACCCCCATGTGCCCAGGGATTCCACAAGTCCTTCCTGAGTCAGAGAAACATGACCATGTGTGTCCCAGACACCTTTCTGCAGATACGCACGTGCACATGCACACACACTGTATCTCAGACTCCATCGAGCAGCTTGAGCTAGAAGTCCCCAGTGTCCACCCTGGTCAGCCACAGAGCCCCCGGCTGCTCTCGGGCCCAGTCTTGCCACCTCAGGCCTACACGCAGCGGCAGGTCCCCACTCCTAGAGACACACTGGACACAGGTGTTGCCTGGCCTGCTCCCTACCCCCAGCCTGGGACACTGCCCAGAAAGGCCAGTGGAGCCAGGCCCTGGCCTTCTGCCTTCCCCCAGGAGGTGGTCCTCAGCGCCTCAGGCCAAGGAAGACCCCTACCTTTGGCTCCCACACCCAGCCCTGTGGTCAAGTTCCTGAGGCCTCTACTTAGGGCGTGCATGCCTAGAGAAGCGAATGACCTGCGGGGGAGGCGGGCGAGGGGCTGGGGCCCACACAGCCCAGCAGGCTGAGGTCACAGTGAGGCCCAGACAGCAGAGGGGAAGAGAGCATGAAAGGGACAGGGCTGACCTGAAGGTGGCGCCGGGGCCAGGCCTTGCTCAGGAGGGGCTATGACCTCCCTGCTGGTCACAGAGCCAGCTTCAGGGTTTGGGGAAGCAGCGGGGTAGTGTGGCTACGCTCGGGTCAGAGGAGCCCAGCCCTCTGGGAGTGAACATCTGCTGGCTTCTGTGGGAGACGTCAGGGCTGGTGAGATGGTGAGGTCTCCTACCTGGTGACAGGTGCGGCCTGGATGCTGCGGACGTGTCCAGTGATTAGGGGACAGCGGGAAGGAGGCTTCCCCACTACCTGGAGCTCCTGACCAGACAGGGACAGAAACATGAGCTCCAGTGAGATGGCAGCAGGCCCTGAGGGGTACAGCAGGGCCCAGGAGCCTTCTTGCAGGGCAGGCAAGTTTGCCCAGGGGTTCAGAACATGAGTGAGTTCAGCACATTAAAGTCATGTTGAAACAATTCTGATGTCAGGCCACCCTTGGTATCACACCAGCCCTGGCGCCCTCAGCACGGGTCACCGAGACGCCGAGGATACACACAGGCACTGACCTGAGCGAATTCTTTTTATTACGACCGAACAGGTGAGCGGAGTGGGGACACCCAGCCTTCCGCCAACAGCCGCGTCTCCACACAGGCTGCCCGCCCATGCACCTCGGTCCTATAGGCCCAGCTAGTCCAGGGGCCCTCGTGGGCAGCAGGGCAGGAGAGGGGGGAACGAAGCCACAGGGTCAGGGCCCCTATGGGGTACCCCTGGCCACGCCCACCCCACCCGCGCTGAGCCACTGGCAGCCAAGATCCAAGCAAGGCCAGGAGAGGGAGGCCTGGGCGGGGGGGTGGGGAGGAATCTCTAAAACAGCCCCACCCTGGAAACAAACCAAAGTGAGCCCAAGTCTCTCCTGGGAAGGAGCCCCAGCTCCCACGGGTGTATTTCTCTCAAACAGCAGAGCCCCGAGGGGAGGAGTGGGGGCCACATGGAAGACCAAGGAAAGGAAAGCCCCACAGGAGAAGGAAACTCAGACCAGCAGTCCCATAAACGTTTGTTGAGCGAACGAATGAAATCCAAAGGTCCTTCTTGACAAGCGGCACTCATCCGTCCAACAGGAAAACCCCGGCAGGGGGCCGGTCCGATGCACGGCCTGCCAGCGTCTGGGGAGCCCACACTCAGCGCGCCCGGGCCGGGTGGGGGGCAGCGGCAACCTCTCAGGCCTCCCGCCGCGCGTGCCCGGTGCGTGTGCGCACACACACAGGCACACGCACCACCGTCTCTCTGCACAGGTGCGCGCCTGTCCGGCCGGGGGCTCACCTCTCCTTCCCGTGGTTCTGTGCCCCCGCACCCCCGCTGCTGGCCCCCTCCCCCCCGCCCCCGCCGCTGCACAGCACCTCCGTGAGGTCGTCCATGACGGCGGTGTCTTTGGGGTCGAGCAGGTTGAACTCCCTGGCGAAGAGAATGAAGTGGACGTAGAGGGTGTTCAAGTGTCCGTGCAGCTCAAGGGCCAGGGTCTCCTTGAAGTGGGACCAGTAGATGTGCGCCAACACGTGGAACAGGTACTTGCAGATCTTCTTCACCAGAGACTCGAAGGAGCTGGGGAATTCTCTGCCTGGGGAGAGAGTCCACAGCATCAGCCCGCACTGCACTCCACCCACGACGCGGTACCTCTCAGGGGCCTGGGCTCCCACCGTCAGGAAGGAGATCATCTGCAGGACTAGCCTGGAGGGCTCCTGCCTGCCACACCCTCCCCACTGAGCAGCCCACTGGCAGGTATACCCGAGTGACCTGTCACCCTGGGCCTGGCCCCAAGAGGTAATCTGCATCAAGGGGCCCGAGACCCTGCCATACACCACCCAAAGCCTGGACTCGGCCCCGGGGTCACATGTGCTTCCCTGATGGATGCTCTTGGGCCTCTACATGGCCTGGGCCACAGAGGACAGGAACCAAGGTGCACGGGTACCTCCTGCTGGCTCCGTATTGGCCTGGAGCCCCCCACCAGGACCCGCCCAGGTCGGGACACAGGGCGGCGGTTACTGCTTGCTGGCTCTCAGGTCCCCAGTGAGGTGGCCTGCAGCGGCCCCACTGTACTGGGGGTGGAGCGGGCGGCAGAGGGAACAGGCCCGAGAGCCTGGGGTGGGTGCGATCTTGATCTAGGCTGGGCTGACCCCTGCCAGAGCGCACCTGCCTGGCCTTACAGCCCCGGTGTCACAGCTGCCCCCCCCCCCCCATCCCGCAGGTCTGGCACCTTCGCATCGGCAGCCACAGCCGCCCAGCAAGGAGGCGCACAGCGGGGCAGAGACATACCGTATTTCGTGGGGAACACATCCTCGTCGGTCACCAGCTTCTGCACGGAGCTCATGACAAAATCGACATACTGGGGAGCAGTGCACTTGACCTTCTTCCCCCGCTCATCGTACCAGTAGTACTGTCTGTGGGGACAGAGAGGGCCGGTCACGGTGCCCCAGAGACACCCAGCGACTCTTACCCGACCCCACTCCGCCCCGGTCCCAGGGGTGGAGGTGTGGCAGGTGTCCAGGCTTCTCCTCCCAAAGCCCCCAGGGGAGACACACTGCTTCCCACCAGCTGGAGACCCTCAGCTGCATCCCATAAGGGGTCTGCCTGCACCGATTCTGAACGTCCAGGACAGAGCATGCCGTCTGAACGCACGTGTACAACGTCAACAGAAGGCGTGTTCATTTTCTCTACCGTGTGCCTGCAAGTTTCATTCCTTTAGAGGGACGCGTGTTTTGTATGATTTGAAGAGGTATGGAGGGCACGTTGTTCACTGCTGCCCTGCCTCTTCCAGGGACACTGCTGTGACTTGTCAGCCAGGCCTCGACCCTTGGGAACACCCCTGCTGCCCCTACTAGGAGCCACATGCCCTCCACTGGCCCAGTGGGGCTGGGTGACCAGTCTTCAGTGAGAACAGCTGGAGCACCTGCGGGCAGACACCCAGGATCTCTCACTGTGCGAGTCTCCCAGCTTGTGTGAGTGCGGACTGCCCCCTGCCCCAGTGCTTCTCTCCCCAGCAGAACACACACAAGTGCCCGATGGGCACTCATCTGGCAGCCACTCTGCTCTCCCCACCCCTGCTCCCGTCTCCCCCAGAGGGCTGCTGTGCTCCTGCAGGCTGGCTCACCAAGGGCTGGACCGGGAGCCACAGGAGAGCAGAAGGGGGGCGGGGTGGCCTCTAGTCCGCTCAGGGGTGTGGTGCATGTGGGTGTGGGGCTGTACCCGTGAGTGACTGAGTGGCCTAGACCCTGACCCTCTCAGCCCCCTGCCCCAGCCAGATGACGGGCCGCCTTCGGGCACAAGGCTTCACACAGACGTTTCCCTCTGCCCAGCACCACCCACACCCCCCTCACCCCCCTCACACAGCTGGCTTCACTTGGCCTCAGAATCGGCTTAGACTAGGTTTCCCCAAACCTCAACATCCCACCTTGCTCGGGGACCCCAGACTGGCTCAGAGTACCTTGCCCTGATTTGTTGAGTGTACCAAGTACCCCTGGATGACAGCCATGAAGGCTAACCCACTCCTACCACACTCTGTCAGGCCTGTCCTCGGGACAGTGGGGGGTCCCCATTTCCCATGGCCAGCCTGACCCTGGCCAAGTGACCTCAAGACAGCTCTACGGCCACTGCCTCTGCTCCAGCAAGCCCACCTCCATTGAGTAGGAACTGGGGCTCCGCTCCGCCCCAGGCAGGGTGTGGGATTGGCCAGGAAGATCGGGAATGCACGGCCTCCACACTAATGGACAGGCCCTCGGAGGAGGCCAGCCCTTCGTGGATAAGGGGACATGGCCCGACTGCCACTCAGCACCAGACCTGCCCACTTGGGGGTGGAAGGTCTGGGGTGTGACTGGGGTGTCGGGGCTTTGCAGAGGGCTACTTGGCTACTCCTGGGCACTGCCACGCACCCACAGGGAGGCCGGGCTTCACAAGAGCCTGGTGCCAGGTGCCCCACAAGGCCCAGGAACATGAGCAGGCAAGGGAGCTAGTTTAGACAAAGCCCTAAGAAGCTTGCCAAATTCCCTGCTTGCCCCCAGGAAGTAAAAATCCAGCACGGCGCTCCTGTGCATTAGAACAGCTGCCCTAGCACCCTCCCCGCCACAAGGTGGCTCTGCTGACCCTCCTCCCGCCGGCCCAGACACGGGCACGGGCACAGGGCGGGTCAGATCACCTGAGGACGAGAAGGCAAAGCCCCTTTCTGTGTCACTCTGCACAGCCTGAGGGGGTCCCTGTGCAGGGACGTGGAGCAGCCCGGCCTCTGGAGCCAGGCTGAGGCCCACGTCTGCAGTGAGGTCCAGAGGTCAAGGCCCAAAGGCCAGGCGGGCGTCACAGACTTCCGTTCCACCAATCCCCCCGGCACCGCATGTGGATGCTGATGCACCTGGCCACAGGGGCCAGAGGGTCAGAAAACACAGCTGCAACTAGAAACTGGGACACGTGTCTCCCCAGCGTGCGGCCCAGAGAGACTAGCTCCTGAGCGACAATGAGGACCGCCCCTCTGTTTGAAAGACGAGACACTGTGCTCTCGACGTTCCGCTTGTTTTCATTTTTAAATTACCGTGCAGTACAGAGGATGCGTTCTGGCAGGCAGGCCTACAGCTTCACCTGTCCAGAGAGCCAGGTAGCTCCCACCCCCTCTCCCGGTAAGTCCCCAGCACACCAGGGATGGCCCCAGGGAAACGCCACAGGACGTCCTGAGCCGGGTTCCGTGCTCCAGCCACATTTCCATGTGCGCCCCGCGGCCCCCGCCCCCACCAGCGTGGAAGGGCCAGCGCGCCCAGCCGTTCGCCTGCTGGAAGACACCTGGCTCGTTTCCAGTTTGGGGCAATTATGGCTCCGACTGTTATAAATGCTCCTGGGCAGGTTTCTGTGTGAGCACAAGCTCTCACTTGTCTAAGATGAATGTTCACGATCTGCACTGCTGGGCCCGTAAGAGGCCACCAAACCACCGTCAGACTGGCTTGTGCATCGCTCCGCCGTCACATCCTTGCCAGCATGGGGCCCGCTGTCCCCACCTGCTGCTCTAGGGGCTTGTCTGCTCTCCTGGGTCCTCTCTGCTGACCTCTGTGTCGAGGCCTGGACCCACTGGGGACCAGCTGCTGTTCGCACGCCTGCGTTGTGAGGGATACTCACACGCTGGGCGCCGGTCCCTTCTTGGGTATATGACTATAGCCCGTAGTTTGTCTATTCTTCCTCCTAACAGCGTCCTTCTCAGAGCAAAAGTTCTAACTGTTGATTACGCCCTACAGTATTACTGATTCTTTCTCACCAGTGAGCGTGCCTTGTGTCACGGCCAAGAGCTCCTCCCCTAGAGTCAGGTCATGAAGATTTCCTCATCTTCTTCCAGAAGTCTTAATAGTTTCACAATTTAGAATCCATTTGGAGTTAATTTTGGCATAAAGGTTTCGGTCAAGATTCACTTTTTTTTTTGCACACAGATGACTGGCTTTTCCACCAGCATCGGTTGAAAGGACTACCCTTTCTGCACTTTCTTCTTCATCTTTGTCAACAATCAGAGGGCCACCTTTGTGTGGGTCTATTTTTGGACCCTCCACTGCCCCCCTGATCTGTGGGTCTGTCCCCTACGCTGTCCTGAATAGTGGGACCAGGGACTGTGCCCGTCCACGCACAGTCAGCCAGCTTGTCTCATTCTGCAAAGACTCTGCTGGAATTCGGACCGAGAGGGCAGGAAGGGGGCAGACGGACCCCGCAGAACTCCCACGTGGCACCCGGGCAGGCTTCTCCATGGCTGCTCCCCAGCACCTCGCCCTTCGCAGTGTGCAGACGTGTGTGTGCTTCCCCGGGTTTATCCCTGAGCATTTCGTCGTCTGTGGGGCTGTTGTAAATGGTGCGGTTCTCTTAGTTTGGGGCTCCAGCTGTACACGGCTCGGGGTTTTCTACACAACCATGCCGTATACAGTAATTGGGGCACTTCTAGCTCTTCTGCACCGTGGATGCCTTTCATTCCTGGTTTCTTGCTGTACAGCACTGTCCATTTGAGTGAATTTTGGTATTTTGTTCCTACTAAGGAACTGGTCCGTTCAAACTGTCCAATTTATGTATGTAGGGATTTTTGGTATGTTTCCTTAATATCCTCTTAGTATCTGCTGAGTTTACAGTGACACCCCTTTCATTCCTTATACGGCACCTTTTCTTTGTCATCTTGTAAAAGGCCTATCAATTTTATTGATCTTTTCGAGAAATCAGCTTCTGGTTTCATTGATTTTCCTGTTTTCAGAAATAAATTTCCGTGATTTCTACTCCATTATTTCTTTTCTTCTGCTCAATTTGGGTTTATTTTTTCTTTTTCTAGTTTCTTAATATGGAAGCTTAGTTCCCGATTTGAGATCCTTCTCCTACAATAAACACATAACCCTATAAATTCCCCTCAAAGCTTTGCTGTGTCCCACAAATTCAGGTATGCTGCGTTTTCATTTGTGCTCAGCTTAAAACGTTTCAAATTCCCTCTGACACTTCCTCTCTAACCTGGGGATTATTTAGAAACGTGCTCATTCCCAAGTGTTTGGAGATTTTCCTGTTATCTTTCTGTTACTGATTCTAGTTTAATCCCATGACAGGCAGATAAGGAACGTAGTACGATTCTGATTCTTTCAAATTTGCGAAGGGCTGTTGTGAGGTGGGATGCCATCTCCTTTGGTGACTGTTCATTCCATGCGCACTTGAGCAGAACGCGTCCTTTGCTGCCAACGGTGAAATGCATCCAGCCCAGCTGGCCGACAGTGCCATTCCGTCCTGTATCCCTGCTGACCTGCTGTCCACCAGCCCTGTCTTGCCTCCAAAAGAGGAGAGCTAAAGTCTCCCACTCTGAGGTGATTTCTCTCCGTTCCTCTAAGTTCTGTCCATTTATTTTGTGTAAAAGCGGCTACTTGGTGCACATTTAAGATCAATACTTCTTGATTAACTGATTCTTGTAAATATGCAATCTTCTTTATCCCCCCTGGTTTACTTTGCTCTGAGGTCTTCGGTGTCTGGGATTCACAGAGCCATTGCAGCTTCCTGCTGTTCTGTGCATACAGCTTCTCTACCCTTTTAGTTTTAACCTACAGACGTCAATGCACGTGAAGCATTTCGTGAACGCTTACAGTTGGCTCAGTTCAGAAATCCACTCCTGCACAGTGGAGCCCCTTCACCTGTGGCTTCACTTTCCCTGGTCTCAGTTCCTCGTGGCAGCCGCCGTCCAGAAGCAGACACTGCTCCTCCTTCGGACGCAGCGTCAGAGGCTGAGAACGGTAGAATGGCGTACCACGCCGCCTGCCTCAGTACCCCCCTTCGCTGCCCCATGTGGGCATCTCATGGTCGCACGCTATCACAAGAAGAAAGTGGGTACGGTGCAATAAGAGACCTTGAGAGACAGACCACGTTCACGTAGCTTCTATGACGGCACCCTGTTGTAACTGTTCCATTTTATCACTACTTATCTCTGTACCTAATTTATCAATGCAATTTTACCACAGGGTCTGATGCAGTCCGGAGCTTCAGGCGCCCGCGGGGCTGGAAGCACAGCCTCCACGGCTGGTGGCCGACTCTGGGAGCTCTATTTGGCCCTCTGACATTTATGGGATTTCTGGTGTGTTTGAATTTTTTACCATCTTTTGTTTACCGCTTGTCCCTTTTGCTTCTCGTCCTAGTATCTCCTCTTTCCTGCCTTCTTTTGGGTCATGTTTTAGTCCTTCCTTTCAGTTTACCCATTACGACTTCGACTACATCATTTACACAACTTTTCAGAGGTTGCTCACAGGAGTATAAAATACATACTCTGCCTGCTTTCCACACTGTCCGCTGCACCAACTTCCCACCACTCCGGCAGGAGCACCGAGAGCCCAGCCCACCGCCGGCTCCCCTGCTGTGACCCAGCACATGGGTGTGGCTCAAAGCGCTCCACAGGGCCAGTCCCCAGGTCCATCCCTGTCGCTCGTCCTGCACAGACGGTCCGGTCCCCTCGCTCTGGGACTCCCTGCAGCAGCAGGTCTGCTGGCTGTGGATGCTCTTAGTCTTCCTCCATCTGAGAAAGGTCCGTATTTCACCTAAACCCTTGAAGGACATGTGTGCTGGAAGGAGGACTGTGGGGTGGACTGCTCCTTCCTTTCGGCGCTTTAAAAACGTGGCAGGGCTTCCTTGTGGCCCAAGGCTTCTGATGAGCGCTGCAGTTACTCGCCCGTGTTCTCGAGGGTTGGCTCTGCTCCGGGAAGGCCTTCTCTTTGCCCAGTTTTGTGATGACGTTTCTGCGCATGGACTCCTCAGTTTGTCCTACTTGGAGTTCATTCAGTTCCTTGAATTTGTAGGTTTGTGTCTGCCAAGCTTGGAAAGCTTCAGCCATTATTTCTTCAAATACAGTCTCCGCGTGGCCCTTTCACGTCACCTCTGGGACTCCAACGCACCCTCTGGTTTCCATGTCTAGGCCCCACTCCAGGCCCCAGGCAGACATGTTGGTCCTGGGGCAGCACTCAGCTCTGGGACCCCTGGTAAACCCGTTTTCTTCTCTTCAATTAATTTGACACCAAACAACTGCTAGGAAGGCAGTACAGTATGCCAGGCTCCATAAGCCTAAAGACCCTGTGAAAGCAGCTGCAGTCGAGAAGAACGAGAAGTGGGCACCCCAGTCTCACACCAAGCTCTACGTGCTTTCCAGGAGTCTCTTCTCAAACACAGGGATACTGAAGGACACATGGGAGCAGAGGAGACGAGCTTCCCCACCCGCCTGCCTTACAGGCCACCTCTGATACCTCTGGGTCGGGCAGGGCCAGCAAGTGTCCTCCTGAGCGTGCCACACACACGGCAGCTCTAAAACACCGTCCTCACCCGCCTCCAGCATCTGCCGCTGGGCAGTCTACTCTACTGAGGGCACTTCCCTCCCATATCACTGTCCTCCAAGCTCACCAGCCCCAACCTCCCCTGGGGCATCCCTGCCTATGGCCAATGGGGACACATGTAATGCCTGGGCTCCCATCAGTGGCCTTTCCTGGGTGACAGAGTGGAGAGCCAACTACTGTCTACATTTGCTCGCACGGGACCTAGCCCTGAGCTCTGACCTGCTGGGGCCACAACAGTGGGGCCTGGCGGGGCTGAGCACCAGGCCTGTGCCAAGGCTCAGTGGGCTCTCAGTGACAGGAGAGCTCCACTTGCCTGCGTTTGAGCTGGGTCTGTGCCCAGGAGCCTGGCCAGCAGCATCTGTGGGCAGGATGAACTCAGGACAGCACACAAAATGTGTGTTCGCCAGCAGGGGCTAGCAGCTCATGCGTACTTGCATTGGCCCCTGACCTGCAGCCCCCTGACCTGTAGCCCCGACAATAAAAAGGAGGTGTGAGAAAGGAGCTTCTGTGCCGCCTCCTTAGTCACAACAGCCCCAGGCTGAGCCCCAGCACACCTGGCCTCCTGTTTGAAGCCACCTTCCATCCCTTCTGCTATTAGAGGCCAAAGGCAAGCCTGTGCCGTGCAGTGGCTCTCCTCCCCACACCCCAATCAGGAGCTACTGCAAATCCAGTGAGGTGCCTTGAAGCCCCATTGAGGTACCTGCCTACTGAAAACACGAACGTGCACAAGCCTCCAGAAGAGAATGAACAGCACCCAAGGCCCATTGAAAACTCACTGAGAAGGCATCCCGGTCCCACAAAACCAGCCAACGAGGAAGGCAGTGAGTGCCCTCCTCCACCCCGTCCCTCGCTAGCCCCTTCTTCACTCCCTCCCACAGGGCGGGAGCTCTCGGGAAAAACCATCCTTCAACTAAGTGAAGCTGCAGAAGCATCTGCAGCTTCACAATGCTCTGCTATCTTAGGAAACCAACCTAGGTGTGTTCACCCCTACCCCCAAGGAGCTCAGCCACCAGCCTCTGGCTGGCTCCTGGCACCCCATGTCCCAGTAGGACCCACACCACCGAGTGCCTCCCCTTGCTGGGCTCTGCCTCCTGTGTCCCTGCCCCACGGGGACAGGAGGTGCAGCCCCAGCCAGGACACGGCTGAGGAGACCCCGCACGGGTGCCATGAGATGGTGCAGGGGCTGGGCTGCAGCCCGGCAGAGACTCACGTGTTGCACACGGCCATCGTCTGGCAGGCCTCTCCCGTGCAGAACTCTGAGATGGTGCTGTACTGTAGGTTGACGTGATGGAAAAACGTGGTGGCTGTGAGAGAAGAGAAGGACCAGGCGTGAAAACCACCACTGCAGCACTGCTGTGTATCCCAGTGCCCTGCAGGCCCAGGAGGCCCAGCACTTCTTCCTGTGGGCCCTGGGGCAGCCAGCACGCACCACAGACCAGAGACACACGTCCCAGAGCAGAGCACCGGCCCTGGAAGACGGCCACCAGCCGCTGTCTTGTGGGCTGGCATGTGTTTGCACAGCGCCAAGCTGGGCAGAGAGCCAGTGGCCATCCAGACGGAGTCCCCTCCACAAGGGGTGGGGCAGGCAGACATGCTGTGAGCCCTGAGCCCCAGGCCGGCCCAGCGCGTGGAGGTGAGAGCCACCCTCCCCTCCCACAGGTCATGGCCTTCCCATGACCTTGGCGCTGCCGGCCTTGCAGCTGCACACCCGCTCCACAGACAGTCCCTGGCAGTGGCGGCCCATCCCTGGTACCCTCCCCGGTGGAGACCCTAAGTGCACTGCAGGGCCGGGCTGCAGCTCCGGGGAGTCCTCGAGGAGGTGACCACCTGCAGCCACTGTGGTGCCCTTCCCCACCCCATGCCACACGCACTGTTGCTGGCCAGCCACTCGTTGAGGTCGATCTCCCGGGGCAGCACCACCAGCTCCTTGAAGCCGATGTCGGTGATTCTGGACTTGGTGTACTCTGGCTCCAGGTACATCTTCTTCTCCTCGGCAGCAGGCTTCTTTCCATTGGGCTTTGCTTTAGACTTTCTGCCGGAGAGAAGGGAGCAGAGGGTCACTGCACGACAAACACAGGCATGGAGGCCACGAGCCAGGTCCTAGGACATGAGCGGGGCTGTCCCTGCCAGTGGGACAACCAGGGGGCTCTTCCTGAGACACCCCAGGAGATTCTGCTCCCAGTTGGTGCCAGGAACGGAAGGAAGCTGCCTTCGTCCTCCCCTGCCACTGTCAGGGGCCCATGGCCTGACCAGCTGAGCTCCCTGCCACCACAAGGGGCAAGTGGGATGCAGAGACACATGCCAGAGGCCCAATGCCGCAGGGCCAAACCTGGAATGTACGACAGGCAGGCAGCTCTGGGCCCAGTGAAGGGCTGGGGTGGTGACCACACTAGTCAGGTTCCATCCTCATGGATGACACTGCAGCCACCCTGGCCCGCAGGGTTGCCGGGTGGGACACAGGGGTGAGTTTCCCTAGCCCAGGGCCCCCACCCTTCTGTGCAGCCGATCTGGCTGCCTGGTCTTCCAGAGCCCTTGCCGTGTGCCGACACGGGGCTCCCCTGCACAACCCTATCCTGCTCACCTGGGTTCCGTGCCAAGCACACAGTGCAGGATCTGGGCAGGGACAGACAGGTGGGCATGAACCAGGCCAGGCATTACAGAGATCTGCTCAAATGACCACTCTGCACCAAAAGGTTTGTTTGTTTGTTTTATTTACAAAAAGTTACTTTCCATGAAAATATACTGTCATACAAACAGAATGGGCTTGTTATAGCTATTTTTATAGGACTAAATACATATATTTGAAATGTCTGTTTTCATTCAAATCCAGTATCAGTACCTAATTAGCCCATAAACCAAAGTTCTCGGTGCTGAAGAGGCCCCCTCCTTGGTGGGGGAGCCGTGGGCCCCAAACCAGTCTCCTGCCAGCTGCCCAAAGGCCGGAGCCAGGGCCATGGTGTGTGCAACCTAGGTCCACAAACAAGATGGAACGTCCCCTAAGAGGGAAAAGTGACCAACACGGTGGCCCAGAGCCCCCAGCTGGGAATACAGCCCAGGCCGGATCTGTCATTAAGTCACTGAGTGTCACACTGGAGCCCACACTGGGCACACGGGCCTTGGAACAGAGGACCCAGTGGAGGGCCATATGCAGACATGGCCCTTCCCAGCAGCAACCGCCCAACATGGAGGTGTAGGAGGGTATAGGCTCCCCGCCATCTGGGGAGCAGCTCAGAGCAATGCTACAGTCCTCCTGCACATGCAAGGACTCCCCAACCTTTTAAGGTTTAGAATTGGGTTCCTGGCGGAAAGTTTGAGAAACTGAAGGAAAATGCCTAATAACATGAATGAGTCTCTTGGTTCTTAGTTGGACGACTAAATTCTTTAATGGTACACACTGTGACTTGTAGAAACAAACTGCAAATCAATACTGTCAGGACGTCTTACTGACCAGAAAAGGCCACCTTTGGCTATAAACTCTCAAGGAGGGGTCACCCCCGCGCCGAGAGCAGAAACTCAGGGGAAGTGTGTACACCTGCCCTGGGGACAGAATAAGGCAGCCAGGGGTCTTGGAGTTCCAGGAGACGCACCCTCCAGAGCCCCCAGTCCTGCTCTGCAGTGCGGAGGGCAGGAGTGAGCAGGCCCCCACCACGGCAAACCCACAGGCACCACTGCTGGGATGGCCACGGGCCCCCTGCACACCTGGGAGGGCTGTGGTCAGGGTGCTGACTGGGCCGGAGGGCTGGGGGCAGGCAGGCTGAGGACCTGGACTCGGGGGCCGCCACACTTGGCCCGGCCCCACCCGCCTACGGCGTCTACGGAGGGAGCAGCAGACCAGCTCACAGCTGGCCTCTGTCTGGCCCAGCTGCCCAAATGGGAACGCTCCGCGGGTCTTGGCTGGGGCCCAGCCTAACGGTGGCTGAGCTGGACACGGCCATCCTAAGCGCTCCGGGCACCCAGCTCCCTGTGCGCCCCTCCCCCGCCAGCCCTGCTCCAGCAAAAGGGCCAAAGGTCCCCGCAGCTCCCTGACCCTGTCCTTTTCTTCTTGTTTTGAAAAGTTGCTAGTGGTTTATTTAAGAGAAACAGGAAGGAAAAATGCTCCTTGAATGCCAGGGAAATGTTTTCCCTCAGCTTCTCAGCAAATCTTCTCCTTAAAAGGCGACGTGTTCTCAGCCTCCCGGTGCACCACCGGGAGTGGCCAAGGCCACGCAGGGCCACAGTGTCCTGGGGACAGGGTGGGACAGACCCCCTGACCCGGAGCAAGGGCGTGGATGTCTCTGTCTCTCTTGATCTCTGTTAGATACACAACCGCAGCGAGCACTTCAGGGGTCCCCTTGGCTGGGGGTGGGGGGGAGGAGGCTGTTCACTGGGGACAAGTGTGGACACACGCTTCTCAGGGCCCTGTGGTCCCCTGGCCCAAGACAGCGAGGCTCCCACCCTTCCCCAGAGCATGGGAGGGATCAGGGAGCCCAGGGGCTCTGCTGATGCACTCAGACGCTCCACCAGGAAATGGGTGGGCAGGCCGTTTTGCTCCCTGCCCCTCGCCCTTCTCCTGACCCTGGTCTCTGCTACTGAGTCACACGCCGACCTGTCAGAAAGCCTGAAGTTGCCTAGAAGATGTCCTGTGCCTACAGCCCCAGGCATGAGGGGCCAGCCCACGGGACGCACGTTCAGCCTGAGCCGGTTCTGCTCTGCTCACCCCCCACCAAGTGTCCATCTGCTGGGAAGGTTCTCCACTCTGCATCCAGGCCCAGTCTGACCCCCGCCCCTGCCTCACCTTGACTCACACCTGGCTAGGACCACCCCCGAGCTGGCCACACATGCTGGGCCTCAGCTTCGGGGTCTAGAGGATCCTATGACCACACGTGTAGGGATGGGGCCCGTGGGGGCCTGTTGTCCAGGAGCCATGTCACAAAGTGACGAGGACCACACATCAGAACCAGCCCAGGGGCAGCGGTTAGTGGAGCAGCAGCAGGAACCGGCCTGGTGCAAGACGTGCCCAGGGTGACACACAGGCCCACTTGGGGATGCCACCCTCGTGCTGGCAAGTCCATCTCCAGGGGAGACAGGGAGCCCCTTTGGGCCGACTCTCTCCAAGGGCCAGGCAGGCAGCCATGGGAAGACGTGGGCTGTGATGTGTATGTGGTCAGAAGGCCTCAGCCTCTTCACCCTTCTCCCCTGCTGCTGTCCGCACCTGTTCTCCTGCAACAAACAGGCCCAACAGGCAGGTGCACACCAGGCCCGCCAAGCTCGACTTCTCCAAGCTGGTTCCCCTGAGCTCCCCTGTCCCCATCATCCAGAGCCGGCCTGGGACTCCTGGACTGCCGTGTAATTTGGGATGACCCTTGTGCCAGGCCAGCCAGAGCAGACGTCTATGGAGTCTGGTCATGGGCTCCTCTTTCCTTCAGTCCCACAGGCAGGCAGCAATGATGGGCACTGACCCAAAGGCAGCAGGACAAGGTACAAGCCAGGGCCCTTGTGTGGAAGTGGTCGCACAAGCCCAGCCACACGGGTCCCTTCCACCCCAAGTTCTGTCCGGGCCACTGCCAAGCCACTTGGCTCCTCTGGGTGGCAGATATGGCCCTGGCCCAGCCCCGCTCCTCTGCCACTGGCAGCAACAAACCCGAGCTTTCAGAAAACGCCCTGTGGCTTCCAGGTGGAACAGGCTATGTAACACCGTCCCTGTGGCCACACGCGTGAGCACAAGACCGTGCACCCCCACCCCACAGGCACTGAGCTCTGGAGCAGGTTCTGTCCAGCCAAGGCCCAGAGGGCTGCCCGGGGGCCACACGCCTGGGCTCCTTCTCTCTGGCTCTCCCCCCACACTGCTTGCTGGGACCCCCACAGCGGCAGCAAAAGGTGGAGTCCCTGGCATGGAGCTGCACTGAACGGACCAGAGGGTGGACACAAGGCTGTGGCCTGCCACAGGGCCTACTGGCACCTTGCGGGGGGCGGGGGGTATGGCTACAGGCACATGCAGAGAACCTCCAACAGAACCCTACATGCTCTCCTGGTCGAACGGGTGGGCTCCAAGGCTGGACCACCCATTTGGGAGGGGCCCAGGCTCCACCAAGAACATCTTCCTACTGTCTCCTCACCCTCCCCTGCTCCTGACGCCTTTACCACCTCCGCAGGAGTCCCCAGACCCCACACATGCTTGGCCTGACACACTTTCTGTCCAATGTCACACCACCAGTCCCACCAAGAAGGCCCCTCAAGTTGCTCAGTGTGAGCCGGCACCAACATGCAACCCATCCACGCCGAGCAAGGGGACACAAGGGTGCGGGAGTGACACCTGCCTGACAGCCACAGGAGAGGAGTCTCCCCTAGGGAGGCAGGTACACTGTGAGGGATGCACCTGCCCAGGAACGCCTGGAAACACTTGAGTGCCCCGTGCTGACGCTCCCCACCAAGAGCTGGCCCCCACAGGCAGATGTGGGGCTGTCAAGGAGCAATCAGTAACTGTCAGGTTTAGAACACGGATGCCTCCTCAAGGCCTCAGTCATGCTGAGGCAAGGGCCTGGTGGTCCCCAGGCACAGAGCAGGGCCAGCTGCGCCCAGCGGGGGGCACACTGAACCAGGAGAAGAAACTGCAGGATAGATGGAGACCCCCCCCTTCCTCAGAGTCCTGCTCAGCCTTCTGTCCCCCAATCTGGCCCCTGCGGTGCTCACTGGATGCTAGCATCCCAGGACAGCTGAGGTTCTGGCCAGGAATGAGGCAGGGCAGATGTAGGAAGTCAAGGGAAGTGTGGAGACGCTGACCCTGGAGGAGGTGGGCAGTGGCGGAGGCAGCCTCATGGGATGGAAACCAAAGATCCAGGGGTGGGGGAGCAGCGTTATGAGGAAGCATGGATGCGTGAACAGTGGACCCATGGCACGCAGAGGCCCCACAGAAAGTGCTCCCACGGAAACAGAGCCTGTGCTGGTGGTGGTCTGGGAAAGGAGGGGCCCATGGAGAGGGCATCTGAGGACTCAGAAAGCACGAGGGTGCCCACCCTCCTGGGTGCAGCCCACTGCTCCCCACACCAGGCTAACACAGGAGGGAGCTCCCAGGCCCAGGCTTGACAAGCGCAACTATATGGGGTGGCATGCTGGGTGCAGCAAGAGCGGCCTGTGGGTCCCGTGTGCACAGGACCCACCTACTCCCCAGGGGGCAGCAGGGCCCAAAGTCCAGGCTCCTCCTGACCTCCTTCCTAGGACACTGATGAGGGCACAGGCTCCGCAGGGATTTCACTGACAGCCCTGTCACCTGGGCGGTCAGGGCACACTTGGGCCCACCACCAGGGCCAGACAGCTCCCTCAACCCCGGGCCGAGTGAAAACACCAGGACTCCCGACCCCCAAGTTTCTGATGCAGCGGGCCTGGAGCGGGGCCTGAAAACCACCTCTGACACGTGGAGGTGCCCTGCCTGCATCACGTTCTTGCCACTCCTAGCACACCCCGGTGTCACTGTACTCCCTCCTGTTGCACAGCCCTGGAAACCAGAAGCTAGGAAACCCCCCCACGGGACCCCCATCAAAGCCCCACGGGCTACGGCCAGCCGGATGCTGTGGAAAGGGACGAGCAGGTCATTTCTCTTCTTGGTTTAACTGCCTGGAGGTCAGCACCCCCAAACAATGCATGCTTTCATAAGCCTTTGTGTCCCCTACAAAATGAGACCCACCAAGACGGAA